TGAGAGTGCCAGCGCCCACTGCCCGGTCCTTTCCCCAGGGTATCTCATTTCCATACCATTGGGCTTGGTGCACGCCCCCAGGAGGTTGACCACATTGAGGTGGTTACCGATGTGAATCAGGATCTTGAGCTCTGACATCAGAGCACGGTGCTCGCTGGCAGTAGCGCCCTCTGGAGGAGATAAAGGGGGGCACAGCACGATGCCAAAACTGCCCTGATAATTTCCCAAATTGCTCAACCCTCCAGAGACATTAACTTAGCAAAGGCATGTTCAGCCCTGGTGCTGCGAGTGCCGGCTGTGCTGGGTCCCTAGCACATGCTGCTGATCCTACAGAGGTAGAGGCTTGGGTCTGATTCCCTATGCTTTTCTGTCGAATCATGGCTGGGATTGTAGCTCGGAGTGTTTTCTTTCTTGCTCTTGCATCACTGTCCCATCCAGAGCTCCTGGCCCTCCCTCTAGCTGCACAACCCCTTCTGCCCGCCAGGCCCCACACCTTTCAGCATCTTCACGGCCACGGTGTCACAGCTGCTGCCTTTATTGATGCCAAAAGCTGAGGCTTCCACGACCTTCCCGAAAGCCCCGTGGCCTAGCACTCTCCCTGTGGAGGCAGGGGGGCCAGTTCCAGGTGAGCTGTACAGGGGTTGAGGGGTGAGGATGGAGAAGGGTGGACAGCAGGGGTCACCTGTCCCAAGAGCTTGGGGCAGGAGGAGAATGGAAGCCTCTCTGCCAAACAGGAAGGGGATAGGGAGTGGAGTCTTAGAGAAGGAAAGCTGGAGAACAGAGGAGAGACAGACAGGAAGGCCCCAGCATCCTCTCCAGGCAGGTGGGACAGGTCCACCCTGCTCAGAGCAGCAGGAAATGACCCCGGGGGCCTGGGAACTGGGAGCCCTGGCTGTGGTTCTGGGGACTCATGTCAAGTTGGAACTGGTCAGGCCAGGTGGGGACCAGGAGGGTCATCCTGGCACAAGTTCTAAGAATGGAAGGATTTCTGTCACTTCAGCCTGCTTGACCCCATGGCAGCTGACACTGTCTCTGCCAGGCAGTGCGTGCTGGGTGGGGCAAGCTGGGTGCTGGCCTCACCGAGGTGTAACCTTTCCCTGGGGAACTCCCACTGGCTGGCGTCATAGGACAGGTATTCACACTGCTCCTCCAAAGGCACCTCCCCGGGGTCCATGATGATGGACAGGTAGCCCGTCTTGATGTCTGCGTGGGCAGGCTGGGGGTGGGGGTGGAGACAGCTCATTGATTTGGCCATTCCACTGTGGCTTGGATATATTGTGCCTAGGGCAAATGGCACTTGCTTCTGAGTTTCTACTCAAGGAGGGGGGCAGGCCAACAGACAACCTCTGCTGGGTTTGGAGGCCAGCACGGAAGGGTGGGGAAGATTCCCAGGGCAGAGCATTGAAAGGTAAACCAGGATGGGAATCTTAAGGGCTTGCTGGGATGAGAATGGAATGGGGAAACAGGAAACCCCGTTAGGTGGTGGAGAGAACTTCGGCAGGGGGAAGACCCTCACCCTTTTCATGTTACAGAAGATGAGGAGGGGAAGGACCCAGAAGAAGACAGCGATGACGCCAGTGCCAATGAGTATACACATCTCCATGCTGCCTTTATCTTCGGAGCCTGTGTGGATAGATAGTGGCTGGGTGAGAGGGAGGATGTACCCAACAGGAAGGGCCCCTCGTGCTTGGGTACCACTTCACTAAGCGGCCACAGTTGGGTGTGTGAGGTGGGCTGAACAGAGCCAGGCAGGACAGCACCTTCCACTGCCACACTGGCAGAGGAATTCACGCAGCCCTTAGCATTGCACACACTGCACAGATAACGACCCGCATCCTCCTCACGCACGCGCTGGATGCTCAACCTCTGATTGGAGTCTGCCAGGTCGATTCCTGCAAGCGGTAGGATGAAGGTTCCAGCTCAGGTTGGTATAGGGACATCAGCCATGCAGACCTCCGGACCCTGCCTGTCATCTAAGGCTACCTCCCCTACCAGACTCTTTCTCCAGGATTCTTTCATCTTTGTACCACACAATACTGGGCACATGCGCTCCGGCCACCGGGCATCGCATTTCCAGAGAGTCGCTCACGTTCACCAGGAGGTCGGTCAAGTTCTGCATGAGCCGAGGAGCTTCCAGGGCTGGGGCAGGGTGGAGAGGGAACTAAATGAGGGCGCAGAAACTAAGAAGGTACCTCGGGATGGTGCATTGCAGGGCTGGAAGTAGGGAAGGGGTAGTGGCAGATGCAAGGGTGAGACGGGTGGTATGGCGCTGAGGGACTGAGCATGCGAAGGATTGAGCACTTCTACGGCTAGGTTGGGCTGCAGGCTTCTGTTGGACCAGGTGGCAAAGGTAGAAGAGGCAAATGCTGGGAAGCGTGACCCCGCCCTCTCTGGCTTGCCACGCCCACCTCACCCTGTACGGACAGGTACTTCTTGTGGCAGTGCTTGTCCTGGCTGCGCCTATCCTGCACCTCACACACGTAGTCACCCTCGTGCTCAGGCGCCACTCGGGGGATATTCAAGCTGAGGGTGGTGTGGCGGGCCCCAGGTTCCGCCTCCTCTAAGTTGGCCTCTAGGGGCGTGGCATACAGGTGCACGTTCTTGCAGTCGAGCAATAGGGGGTTCCCTTGAGCATCGTGTAGCGTGGAAAGGTGGAGCCGGTACCAGCGCAGATGCTCGTAAGTGTAGTTGTCCGCCCGGCAGCTGAGGCGCACGGACTGGCCTTCTAAAGGATCCTCGGAAGGCTCTCATTCGATACTGAAGCCGTCCGGGATGGCTGGGGAAGAGAGAGGAACCCGAGAGACACCATCTCCGTGTTTGCTCACCTACCCCAGCTATAGTGTGGGTCTCTCTCTTCACTATTGACCTTGCAACGCAATCAGTTCTCAATCAAGGGTGTACATAGTGTGTATCCAGGTTTTCACACTGTCTAGAGCCCACTTCCCCTCCTTTTTCTTCCCCTCCTTGGTCAAAGGAGCCACCTACGTTTTGGAAATCAGCCCCACCCATAGGGTTGAGCTCCTCTTGCATCCCTACCTTTTGGACTCTTCTAGCTATGGTCCAAGCAGGGAGCTGTCCACACACTTCCAGGTTCTTAAACTCTCATCACCAGACCCAGTGGACCTCATTCTCTTTTGCTACTAACTACATCCTGACCCTGGCTTTTCCTTGGAATGATTTCTTTAGCTTTTGCCAGCGCCATTCTCTCGATTTCCACTTGCCCTTTCAGGTGACTTCATCCATACTCCTGAACCCAGTGTCACCTCCTGTGACCCCTTCTTTCTAGAGGTCACCAGCCCTTTTGAAAATCTGAGTAAATGATGGGAATTTTTCCAAAATGCACACACGAATCACAGTACTCTAAACTGAGAAAGGGTAGGATTTCTCTTTGCTGGGGGTACAGGGTGTCATTCCATCCCACTGCACCAGCCCCAGTCTATAGGCTGAACGTCCCTAAATTTCTCTCTTCCACTCTGTGTCATGGTGGTGGTAGTCCCATGGGCTGGGTGCTCCCACGATCACCAGAAACTCATAAGCTCATTCCTGGCACCCAGGCCTATCTAGATGAAGTGGTACTCCCTGGGAGACAGCCTGTTTACTCACTGGTCACGTAGAAGTAGATGAGACGCTCGTCCTGGCCCACTTTGTTGAAGACAACACACTTGTACATGGCTGACACGTTGGCATCCTGGATGACCAGCTTGCTCACCGTCTACCCAGAACAGAGGCAAAAGGCTCCATTGCCTACCCAGACCCTCCTCCTCTTCAAAGAGGCTATCGTGCCCACTAGTAATGGGGAAACAGGTTTGGGCTGTCAGTGGCCAAAGTCTAGGGACAGCACAACTGATAAGGCAAGGTCCTTTGGCAGTAGACAGGTGTCACCTCAGAAAAGCCAAGAAACAATGTGTAGACAGCTGGCCGGAGCAGAGGGACTTATCTGTGCTATGTCTCAGATTGTGGCTATGTTGAGGGGTCAAGAGCCAGTTCGGCAACTGGGACTCTCTAAGCAAGAGTTAAAATTCAGACTGTAATGAGTCACAACAGGACCAGCTTCTTTAAATTGTACATGTTAATTGTAAGGTTAGTATCTGGTCCCTGTTCAAGGTCTTTGTGATGTGCCCACGTTAGTCCAAAGGCACATAACATTTTTTCAAGGTCCAGGGTAGTAGAGGAGGAGTGTATATGTATGTGTATGGAGGTATCCCAGGATTCTAGAAAAATTCTGCCCTCAGGGAGTAGGAAATTTGAAAAGTAGGAGAGAAGAGCAGTCCATAGGCCCTGCCTACCATCCAAAGACCCCCACCCCCACCCCAAGCCGGGCACTTCCTGGCCAGGCCTGGAACAGGAAGAGGCTCTGGAGGTGTGTAGGAAAACAGGAAGTGACCGTAGGAAGTGGGTGCCTTTGTTCACTCCCCCTCCCCCTCCTGGTCAACAGCTCACCAGCCTTCTATGGAGACCTAGTCAGCCCCCAGCCCCATCCCCTTCCAGCCTTGGGACTTGTGGGCAGCTGGGTTCTCCTCCTGGATCTCAGTTTCCTTGTCTGGGAAGGCCTGGCTCACATGCAGGCAGGGAAGCTGGGGCCCAGAGAGGCCAGAAAAGTCACCTGGCTGTCAGCTGCAGCTCCCCAAGCTCTGCAGGTCAGGTGGAAACTGAGCCCAAGCAGAAGGAGCACACCTAGCCTCCCTCCTCTTAGTCCACTCTCATTGTCAAAGCTTTTCTGCACCTGGGGCTTTCTCTCCATGTGGTCTGTACCTTGTTTTTCCCCTCCACAAACTCGGTCCAGGTGTCCAGGCTCTCAATGGGGTTCACAGCATCTTGAGTCGTCACCTCCCTCCAGTCTCTGCACTGTGGCAGGCCACCCCGCTGCTGCCGCCTCCGGCTGCCGAGGATCAAGAGGGACAAGCGTAGATCAGGAATAAGGACAGGAAAGACCTAAAGTGGCGGGGGGGGGGGGGGGGGTTTACACCTTTGCTATCCTCAGACATTGTCTCCCACCACAGTGACTAAGAGACAGCCCTCAGGCCTGGGAACAAGGGCAATGAGGGGCTGGACCATTGTTGCAGCCCTGCAATCCTTCCTTCAAACAACACTGCTTTGTCCTACTACAGCTGTGTGCCTTCCTCCAGAGTCCAGCTTGGATGTGCTCACTCAGCTTCCAGGAGGACCACAGTCAACACTCAGCCCCACGAACCCCATCTCCTCCTAGGCATGCCCAGTGCTTCAGTCTTCTGTTGAGATGAGGCAAGGGGGCAAGAGGAGATCTTGTCTGCCCCTATCTGAAGAGTGGGGAGGGAGCACTGTGTCATTGGACACAGAGCATAATAGTGGCTTACTAGAAGGGGCAAAGATAGAGGTACCAGGGTGACCTGCAGGCCATGTGGTTCACAAGAGTCCCTTAAGAGCTTTGCATATGTCAGGCTCTCCCAGGCCCACAGGTCACTTCTAGGCTTCCCACTGATTGTTCTGGAGCCACAGCTACTGGGCCAGCAGGTGGGGCTAGACTCCTTTCCTGCCTAGGTTCCTGGCTTCTGTTCATTCTCTAGCATGTGACCGACCACAGAGTCTTTCACTAAATGGCAAATCTGACTTGTCATTCTCCTGCTGAATGCCCTTCACTGGCTCCCCTAATGACTTCAAAGTTCCTGCTCATGTGGCACCCTCCTCCTCTCCTGTTCTTTGTATGTCTAATTGGTCTCTGCCCGGAATGTCCTTCCAGGTTCCCCTGTCCATTTTGTTTTCTGTTATTCTGGCTTTGAGCTCACTATGTAGCCAAGGATGACCTTCAATTCCTGATCCTCTTGCCTCTACCTCCCAAGTGTTGGGATACAGGCATGTGCCACCACATCCACTCAGCTCTTGTCCTTTTGACATTGAGCTGGGTATAGGGAACATGGCTCAGCATTTGGGCAGGCTCTCTTGCTTACAGCTTTGACCTTGGGAAATTTGTCTCCCTTCTCTGGTCCTGTTTCCTCACCTATAAATGGATGACATGGATGAGCTAAGATTTTGTGTGTAGAAGAGGAGAATAGGGTGTGGTGGGGGAACATACTTACAGGCTGCGCTGGGCGAATGTCTTGCACGGTGTCCAGGGCCTCCAGTGCCACTGGACACTGAGAGGTTGGGGTACCCCATAGGCGGTGCAGGTGAGAGTCTGGCGGCTGTGGCGGGAGTAGATACTGGGTGAGGAGGCTTCCTTTTCATGGATGTGGGGAGGCACTGAGGGCATAGGCAAACAGCCAGTCAGCTGGCTCTCATCGCCACCCCACACACCCTGGGACCATCCCTTCTCCCATCCTTCCAGTCTATACCATTCACCACCAGCTCCAGGCTGATGTTTTGTCTCAGACCAGCTGCAGAGTTCCACAGGGCGAGAGTGTAGATGCCAGCACTGGCCTCAGTCACTTCTTTGAGCACCAGAGCATGTGGATTGTGGCGTCCAGTCACCGCCTTTCTGTCCTTGAACCTGGCAAAGGAAGGGAATTCAGAAGCTCTGTGGACCCCATGCCAGCTCTGTGTTGGCATTTGCAAGCCCCCCAATCAGAGGGGTTCTCGGTTTCCTGTTGGTCACCAAAATCTTTGATGATCAATCTAAAATACCTGATCACATCAACAAGAACAAATTTTGTCTGAGGATGCCATAATGAATCCTATACTTTGTATATGCTAATTAAAAATAAATAAACCAAGACAAAGTAAAACAAGAAATACCCAAAGCTCAAGTCCCTTCTGTAAAGTAGCATAGAATTTGCAATAAGCTATAGACAACCCTCTATATACTGTAAATCATCTTGAGATGACATCTATAGAATTTGCAATAAGCTATAGACAACCCTCTATATACTGTAAATCATCTTGAGATGACATCTGATACTCAAGACACTGTGTTACATAAAAGGCTGTGATATTCACATGCTCAGGGACTGTGTCAAACACAAAAGGCCCAGACTGTCTTTCTGCTTGCTACACGTTTGAAAAGATATTTTTCCATCCAAGGTTCATTGGCTCTGTGGCTGCAGAATACACATATATGAAGGGCCCACAATACAGCTAGATGTGGGAAGAGAAGGCCACGTGGTCTGTCTTGATAGGTCAGGCTAGAGCAAGAGGCCTCTCCTGCACCAGACCAAGGAGGGCAGCAGGAGTATGGGGTGGACAGAAGTCCCTGGTCTCAGGAGAGGCAGACACAAGCTCTGGACTAGGCCGAATCAACCCATTGTCATAACTTATGTGGCCAGCTCAGCAATGTCACTGATCTTTATGAGATCTGCGGTGGCACTTTTGGACTCACCCTTAAATTCTCTGATATCCCCCCAGTACCCAGCAACCAGTTTCTGCTTAGGGCAACTACCCTCTCTTCATCCTGTCTGTGAGCTTGGCCTAGGGACGAGGAAGGCAGTTTGCTAATTCATCCCATGACATCCCTCCACATCTGCTGGCCTTGAGCATCAGAGATTGACTACAATGTCCTCGGTGGGCCCCTCCTCTTTCTCACAGTGCAAGACGATGAGTGAAGGGACAGCCACAACCGAGCACATGGAGTGGCAATTGCCTGGTTCTCTGACACCTGGCTCTGGATGCTTCCATGAGTTAGTTCTCCAGACACAGAGCCTTCACAGGGCTTTTGGCTTACTATTATATTAGTTTGAATGGTCTTTCTGTAGATGGCAACTTGTATGGCTCTCTCCTTCCTTCACTGGGGCTGGGGTACTGGTTCTTCAAAGATGATTGTCATCTGGCCCTGCCTTCCCTTTCCTTCCTTCCTTCCTTCCTTCCTTCCTTCCTTCCTCTCTTCCTTCCTCTCTCCCTCCCTCCCTCTCTCCCTCCCTCCCTCCCTTCTCCTCTACAGCAAACCCAGGACCTCCACACCCCATGCCAGTGCTCTGCCACTCAGTTACACTCCTATCTGGCATACTGAGTTTTTTCTTTTTTCTCTTTCTTTCTTTCTTTCTTTCTTTCTTTCTTTCTTTCTTTCTTTCTTTCTTTCTTTCTTTCTTGTTGGCTTTTTAGTGGCAGGATTTCTCTGTGTAACAGTCCTAGCTGTCCTGGAACTCTCTCTGTAGACCAAGCTGGCCTCGAACTCGCAGAGATCCACCTGCTTCTGCCTCCTGAGTGCTGGGATTAAAGGTGTGCACCACCTGTTGGTTGACTCTCCTCTCACTGGGCTGTGGGTTTCAGTGAGGACACTGACAACTCATTACTGTATCCTGTTTACATAATGCCCCACTGGGCATGTGTGATCACTCCAGACCTCTGCTGCATGTGCAAGCAAATGCCTCATACTCTGTACTTTTTCTGCAGCCTGAGTCCTGGGCTTGGAGCTGGTTCTCCAAGGTCCCTCCCCTCTGGATAGGCTAAGCCATGACTCTACAGCCCTGAAAAGGCATGTCTCCTAGGTAAAGACCTAAGGTAATACAGATTTAGGGTTCCCATGCTCAACTGTGACAGCAAACAGGGCATAGAGAGGAATGTGACTTGCCTGGGATCACAGAGCAGGGCAAGTAGGACAGGAACAGAATCAAGGCCATGCTATCTGCCTTGTTGTGTTGCAGAAGGCTTCTGGTACCCCAGGCTTTTTAGTTTGTCAGGTGTGTGACCCTGGAAAGATCCCTTAACTGTCCCAAGCCTCAACGTCTTCATCTGGAAACTGGAGCGTTATATTTGCAGGAATTTCAAAGGCTCACTCAAACAGTGCCAGCACCTTGCTGGGCACCTTAGGCCAAATACCCAGCCTGTCTGTCTGTCTACTGGACCATCCATCATTCACTGACTTAGAAATTCCATCATTATGCCACTTGAACAGTGGTCACCTGTGGAACTGTGATGAACACAAGTGCCCTGGGACGTTCGTTCCTGTGGAAAGCTACACTGAGAGCAGGCTCAGTGCTGCTGGCCTTGGAGGTCAGAAGACTCTAAAAGTTGCATTTATGCAAGACATGCTCCTCACTTCATCAGTGCCTCTGGACCTTCCCTTGAGGCTTCTGGTACTATGGCATGTAGTATTACATGGCCCAAAGCTATGGCCTTAGATGGAGGAGGATTCAGGGCCATAAGGCGCATGACTGGGACACCCTGAGCCTTCCCAGAAGCCAGCTTCTTGCCTATGGCTAGTGGGTAAGGGCTGAGGACATTGGGGCCTCTGCTTGTCCTGAGAACCTCTTACCAGGTGTGAGGTGCCTCAAGCTTGGAAGGGCAGGGCTGCTCTGGAATGACAAGAAAAGACAAAACAGGGACTCCTCCCAGGAGCCCTGGGGCTCAGGTGGGAATGTTTGTCTCTCTTTTGGCCCATTTCCGTATCTGTACAATGTAGACAGAGGCTGCAGTAGGATCTATCATGATTGAATTAGGGACATAGCTCAGAGTGTAAGGGAGGATTGGGAGGTTGCTGTAGTCTCCTGGGGAGCATCTAGAAGGATGCAGCCATCACTGAGGGTCCTTTCCTGTGCCCTGGGCACACACTGTAGGGAAAGCCTAGCTCTCAGTTCTCCTGCAGGCCTCTCACTACCATGCATCTCAGAGCCAGGCTCCATAACAGTTTATCAGTCTCAAGACATCTCAAATTTGTGAGTCAGAAAAGTCCTCAGAGAGGAACTCTTATAGGAAGGAGCCCAGGGAACAAGCTACTACAGGGCAGGCTCTGAGTTTGCTAAGTGAGGAGATCCAGTTGGCCAGGACTTGGAGAAGTCTGGGGGAATGCAGGAAGCAGGTACATAAAACCCCATACTGTCCATTGCATTCTACATATCAGAACCTGGTATTTAAACATTTTGAAGTTTAGCAACTCCTAGGTGATCCTTCCTTCTAGCTGAATATGTGCTTTCCCTTTAGGGGTCCTGTTCTGTAAGGGTTCCACCTGGGTTTCAGGGTATGCAGAGCCTGATGGGCAGGGACCGAGCCCCTTCTGAGACCCAGGGCTAATGATCTAATGTGGAAGGACATGTTCTTTTCACTTTTTGGCTGGTCCTTGTGTTAAGCCTGGCAGGGCAGCAAGGGGAGGGGGCCCAGGATGTTACCATTGGAACTCTGGTGGGGGATATGCTGCCAGCTTCACAGGCAGCTTCACCAACTCGTCACCGG